TATATATATATATATATATATATATATATATATATATATATATATATATATATATATAAATTCAACTTACCGGGCAATATTTTTTAAAGAATTCAAAGAATTTTTCAAAAATTTTATATATGTATATGTAAATCTTGTATAAAAAGTATTAGTGTGTTCATTCAATATTGTGTTATATTATAATTGTTGAAAACACTGTTTTATCTTTAAATTTGTTTTTGTTTAGCGTTTCATAGAAGTACTATCCTACTTTTATATGAAAAAAAATTGATACAGTATATAAATTATATTGAATAATAGTTTTGTAGTAACAATAAACATTATTAGATAAAAAAAATATTAAATGTTCATTGGGTGCAAGTTGTCACTTTGTATAATAAAGTTTAAAAACTTAATCCGAAAACACATGGAAAGTCCAAAGTTTTTACAAATATGCAACATGTTATGTTACGTCAATCATATTTAAAGTTTCTGGTCAAGTCGCCTGTTGTTATGTTTATAAAGCTGACCATTTATGCACAACAAGAACCGAAGTCGACCACCTATTTTATATACAATCAAAAATACAATCAAAGCCAGGACGGTTTGATTCTATTCACTTTTTTGACTGGTTTGTTATTGTTTTTTATCAAATTGTAGGAGCATTCCTATTAGTTATCAAAGTAATTTTTACAGTGAAAAAGTACTTGAATTTACTAAAGAAAATAGTATCTTGTTGAGAAAGAAACAGTATCTTGTTCTATAACTGGTAACTCTACCTATTTATTGCAATCTCTTAATGTTGCATTTTATTGATCTTTTAAAAAATGTTGTAAGAAAATACTTGATCAATTGGAAACCTTTAAAAAATGCACAGACTATTACTAAAAATAAATCTTCTTTTTTCTTTATTTACTTATAATTATTATATTTGTTAAATCCAGGGGTGTGGAGTCATAAAAAAAAAGTAACGACTCCGACTCTAGTTGTTGAAATTTTTTGAGTACAACTCCGACTCCAACTCCAAAGCAAAATTTTTGAAAAATTCTTTGAATTCTTAAAAAAATATTGCCCGGTAAGTTGAATTTTTTTTTTGACAAATTTATGAAACATTCTTTGATGTTTAGTATGAACATAAGGTTAATTGAATGTTTTGTACATGTACGTGCAATACCAAGAAATTTTACTATCGGAGTCGGAGTCGCGATATTTTTTAGCGACTCCGACTCCGGTAAAATTGTCACAACTCCCTGACTCCGACTCCAACTCCACAGCCCTGGTTAAATCAAAAGGTAATCAACAACTTAGTTGCTTAGTGGTTTTGAAAAAAGTATGAGAGTTACCCATTAGATAAAAGTATCATCTTCAATCGTTGGCCAGATAGTTATAACTTTAGTTCGCCGAGCAGTAATTAATGTACTTTAACAATTTTTTCATGTTTATGTAAAGAAAAAGCAGACTCTAAGGTAAAAAATAATACTTTTTAAAAAGATCTTTTTAAAAATATTTCTTTTGAGGATTTTTGGCAAAATGTAAAGATGTTTCACTTGCAAAGTCTATAAGTGAAATTGATGTAAATGAGACTTTTTTATGCTAGTCCACTTAAAAAATACCCATTTAAACAAAATAAAATACTAAATAGGTGTTTGTTATGAAAAAATATTATTTTAGCAATAATAAATGACTGTGAAACTACAATGTTGTTTTTATTAAATTTTAAAACAAAACAAGGCGTTTTTGAATAGGTTTTGCTTTAACAAAAAACGCATTGAAAGTTACCTCATTTGCAGGGTAACTTTGAATGACTATTTAAATTAATATTATACAAAACTGGTTTTTAAGGAAGTGCAAATGGAGAAAATTGTCAAAGAGAGAGGTTTACTTCAACCTGATGAGCTTATCAACAACGTTTTTTTGTGAATTGCATAACTAGACATAACTTTTTATTAAATTATTTCAATTAATTACTCTGGAAAAATATTTTTATTACATTCATACAAACTTTAACTAATATTGTAGTACTTTGTATTCCAGCTCATCAAGTTTTTACCTTCTGTCTACCCTTTAGTGAAACAAGTTACAATTATTAGCTGTATTAAAGTCTCTTTACATTGAGCAAGTTAAATAAATAGCATCAATTTGAAACACAAATACTATTCAAAGATTAAAAGCTAGTAAGTTGAACACTCTCTCATTAGTTAAGTCGATCTACGCATTTTGAATTAGCTAGTAAAATTGAGATAGCGTAGTAGTAGTAGTAGTAGTAGTAGTAGTAGTAGTAGTAGTAGTAGTAGTAGTAGTAGTAGTAGTAGTAGTAGTAGTAGTAGTAGTAGTAGTAGTAGTAGGCGTGTGTATCTCATATAAATCAGTATAATCAATAATGCAAGTTTGATTTTATGTTATGCCAATTGTATTTAATTTTCAAAGCTTGTAACCAACCCTTCCGATGGTGCATCCAGCATTTTATGGTATGAGAACTTTCAGACAGGAGGCAAACTCCAAACATTTATACTTTTATACTTATTTTAAATAATGGTACTTTTGAAAAAATTATGACGATTGGAGTCTGGGATGAAAAAAGAAAGTATCTTTCCTCCTCCCCCTTTTCCCCAATTGTGAGAGTTTTTTTTTTTTATTATTCTCAACTAAATTAACATTCATCGATAAATTTTATAACTTCATACAATAATTTCTAAACGTTCAAAAGTTATGAACAGTTTGAACCCCCCTCAAATATTGGATCGAGGAGGCGGAGGATATTTTTTTAGCATTTTTGTTCCCAGGCTCCAATCATCACAATTTTTTCCAAAGTACCATTATTTTACATAATAAAACTTTTCTTCCATATCAGGAAGAAAAGTTTTACTACAAATTTGAGGGCTCCCCGCAAAAAAAAAAGGATGGGGCCCTACCGACCTATTTTTTTTTCTATTACGGTGTCTCCCAAGGTTCGATTCTTACTCCTCTTTTGTTCCTAATCTATATAAACGACCTTGCAAAAGTTTCTGGCAAACTTGAATTTATAAAGTTTGTAGACGATACAAATTTATTTTACTCTTCGACAAACATCAAGGATCTCTATGATAATGTAAACATAGAGTTCCAAAAATTAAATATACGGTTTAAAACAAATAAGTTATCTCTAAACATAGAAAAAATAAATACACTTTACTTCATTCAAACCAGCAAAGAAACACACTACCAAATATCCTCTCTAAAAATAGAAAATATAGTAATTGAGAGAACTTATGAAACTAAATTTTTAGGTATTATAATTGATAAAAATTTATCTTGGAAAGCTCACATAAATGCTTTAAACACTAAAATATCAAAAAACAAAAATCTATTTTATAAAGCAAGACGTATGTTGTCGCAAAGTAATTCAAAACTTAAATATTTTTCTTTTATACATAGCTACCTCATATATACGAATATAGCATGGGCGAGTACGCATATACCATATTGAAAACTTTATATCAATGTCAGTAACATGCTAATCTACCATAAAGATAAATAAACACACGCTGAACCCTTAATTAAAGAAATAAATGTACTTCATATTTATCAAATTAACCAAAATATATTGTTTATGCTAAAATTTAAGTTAGGTCGAGAACCAAACCATTTTTTAAATAACTTTTTTATAAATAACGTTAATAAATATAACACAAGAGAAACGGGAAACATTATTACACCTTTCAAAAAAACAAAACTTTCCCAGTTCTCAATTCTATATTGGGGTTCTTATTTATACAAAAAACTAGTAATTAAAAATAAATCAATTTGCAATCCAGATAAATCAAAATTCTTTGAAAAAAAAGTTAAAAAACCTGATTGTATTTAAACAAATACTCTGAATTTTTCAATTAATTTTAATAATTTAGTGTGATAATTATTATCTGTAATAACACACTGTTGTCTGCTATACAAGTTATTTTTGAACTACTGTATATGCGTATGACAGTGTATGGTTTTTTAATCCATATTTTTCCAATTTTTTTAGTATGATTTCATGACCTTTTATGTCGAACGCTTTTGATAAGTCTACAAAAACACGAATTTCTTTTCACGTATTGATTCACCAATCCTGTTGGTGAGGTCTACAATAGCATGCTTTGTCGAGTGCTGAGTTTGAATATTGATTTTTATTCAGGATTTTGTTTGTGATTAGGTATTTATATAAACAATTGTAGATTATTTGTTCGAGGAATTTTGAAAATACGGGAAGGATTGATATTTCAAGTGGCGGATACAAAAAAAATCTATTGTTGCATTTAACGATATTAAAGAAAAAACGAAGAAAGTTTCGAAACATTTGAATGTTATCATCTTTCATTCTATTATATAAGTAGATAACAATAAAAAACAGTAAAATTACTATCGTTCTATTTTGAAAAACTTTTTAAACTGTTTTTAAAAACTTACAAAAAAATATATATATAGGTTTGATTTGAATGGTAAGTTTTTTTTTATTAATTCAATTTTAATTTGTAGTATAATTTATATACGTGATGCAGTTTTTGGTAGTTAAAAGTATTTATTTTTCAACAATTGATATTGTAACACTTCAATTTATATTACGCTTTTATACACTTTAAGTTGTATTTAAATAAAAAACGAAGAATTTTTTATTTTAAATAGTAACTGAATGAATTTCTAATGAATTAGTTTCTTATCTAGAAAACAAAAGTGTGTTAATTACTATTTTAAATAAATAAATGAATTTTACTATTTATAATGATATTATTTTTATTAGCTACAATGACCAACAGGGTGAAGAGGACAAGCTCTTTAGATGACTGTTTTGTCAAAAGAAGTAAAATTTTGGCTTCAATTTAAAAAGATTGTGTTGGTATAGGTACTGATGGATGCAGCCTTATGTTAGGTGAAAACAACGGAGCAGTCACGAAATTACAGAAGATCCTACCAAACGCAATAAAATTCCATGCTACACCCATGGTTTAAACTTATCAGTTTCTAAATGTTCGTATGTGCGAGCTGTAAGAAATACAATTGGCACAATGAAAGAAGTAATATCATTTTTTAAAGGTCCGCCGAAGCGAAGTAACGTTCTTAAATAAATAAATATGGGAATGCTTACAAGCTTATGCGAAACAAAATAGATTGAACGGCATGATTCTGTGTTAAGTTTTAAATCTTGTTTAATAAGTATTGTAGAAACAGTTAATTTGATATCTCAGTGGAATGAACGGGATTCTTCAACAAAAGCTACATTACTAAAAAATGCAATATCTGAGCCCTTATTTGTAATAACACTTTGTTCATTAGCTAATGTGTTAAATACCACTATCTCTTTAAGTGAAGCTCTTCAAAAAAAATTATTGGATGAGGAATATGCAAAAACTATTCTTAAAGATACCATAAAGATATTAAATAAAAGACGACAGAATGAAGAAAACTTTAACTCTATATTTATGACTGCATCAAAGTTACTAGAAGACTTAGGGTTAAAAATCAAGATTCTACGAATTACAGGAAAACAAACTAATCGCGCAAACCTCAATACCAAGGATCCTCTAACTTACTATAGAGTCAATGTTTATTTACCGCTACTTGATAGCATAGTTCTAGATTTACAATTCAGATTTTCTGATGAAACTTTAAACTCTTTTGAATTAAATGTTGCAATACCTAGAAATTTATTAAATAAAACAAAGACAGAGTTAACAGCATTCATAACTAATATACTGAGTTTTATGAAAGGGCTGCCCAATATAAATACTATTGATGAGAATGTCCAATTAATGAAAGTTTCTTCAGAATTTGAATTTTTGGAGCTAAAATGGAAAGACGCAATCAAAAAGCAACAAGACTTACTTGAATGTGCACTGGAAGCATACAAGCAATGTAATGGTAATGTCTTCCCTTTAATTAAATGTATTTTGCAACTGCTTTGCACCCTACCTGTTAGCGTTGCTTCGGGAGAACGGAGTTTCTCAGTTTTAAAAAGACTCAAAACTTGGTTAAGATTCAATATAGGACAAGAACGATTGAATGGCTTAGCTATGATTCATATCCATAGAGATTGCATCATAAATGTTGAAGAGATTATTGATAGTTTTGCATCTTCGAAAACTAGAAAGCTCAATTTTATATTGTAGTTTGTTAAACTTATTTAAAAAGTCTTTATTTAAAAAATATATATAAGTACTATAGATATTATTTTGTCTTTTGTTGCACATTACAGACAGGGCCAGATTTACCTACAGGCAGGCAATACTGCAGCCTGTGCACCATGATTTGAACGGGCTCAATTTTTAAATGTATCGTGAAAATAAAATCCGTCCCTTAATACAAACTAAGTATTTATTTTCAACTTTTTTCAAGATATTTATATACAGTTACATTCAATATATTTATTAACAAACTTTTCCAAAAATATTCTAACTAATCAAATAAAAAAGTGGTTTATCTGAAGAATAAAAAAGCGGAATTTTTTTGTTGGCTAAATTACCCCGTAGGACAATGACCTGGATCCGCCACTAGATATTGGTCTGTAATTATTTATGGAGGAAGTTTCTCCGGATTTATAGATAGGAATAATTTTAGCTATTTTTAAATGGTGGGGTTTCAATTCCTGTAATTATTGAAGAGTTGAATATTTGGAAAATGGGTTTACTTATTTCTGAGAAAACATTCAAAATTATATCGGCTGGGATATTATCGATACCTGGACCTTTTTGTTATTTTTCAATGTTTTATTTACAGATTCAATTCTTCGTATTCTAGCAACAAGAGTCCTCGATGTAACTTTCAAATGAATTGTTTGTAGGTTGAATTTTAGAAGCAAGTTTAAAACCTATACTTGCTAAGTATTTGTTAAATTTTTCAATTTTTCATTTTTGTAAAATCTTCGTAGGCCCTAAAAAGCTTCGTAGGTCTAGACTAATAATCTTATCAGTATTCAGATAAAATTGCTTTGCACTCCAACCAATGTTTACATCACCCCTAGCGATTTTTGCATAGTTTATGTGATAATGACTAAAAAGAGTAATAAAATCAAACTAAGGTATGGTATTGCATATGTTGCAATAAAGCGAAGGTCGGCTTTTTTTCTGATACAAATAAAACGTTGATAAATTGTCAAGTGTTCAGCAATAACTATAATGAAAAGATTAATACCAACGCATTAAAAACAGCTTGCATATTAACGATGGTCCAACGTATGTAAAAACATCACAAAAGTTGATTGTTTTTACGATCTAAACCTAATGTCAGTGATGTCATAGAGCCGGAACGCTGTTCCGGTATTATATATATATATATATATATATATATATATATATATATATATATATATATATATATATATATATATATATATATATACACACACTCAAAAAAAGTTCCCTTATTTTTAAGGGAAAGAATAAGGAAATAATCCCTCAATATCTGCACTGGTAAAGATTTCCTTAAAATAAGGAAATATAATTTTAGGAAAATAGTTTTTCTTAAAAAATTTTTCATTAAAAAAGGAAAATAAGTAAATAATTTCCTTAAAAATGAAAAACTCTTAAATGTAATTAAATATCAAAGGCAATTTTTCCTGCTATTAAGGAATGTAATTTAGGCAATATTCTCCGACATTGAGGAATTTAATTAATGCAATTTTTACTGACATTAAGGATTGCAATTAAAGGACAATTTCCTGACAACATAGAATATAAATAAGCCAATTATTCCTGCCTTTAAGAAATCTAATTAAGGGTTTCAAATCCTGGTTTCAAAAAACAATACTAAAGAATTGTTTTAATCGCTTACATTCAAAACAAAATTGTGTCATTTGGCAACGCTAAGGTTATTATTTTGAAACATGTACTGAAGCTAAATTACAAAATAGTTGCACAATGGGTAGCACCTAAGATCCTAAAAATTATCAAATAAAACGCATTAAATGTTTTCACAAATCACAAAAAAAGACAGCAAAATGGCTACTACAATAAAATCTTATCGGAAAACAAGTTGCAAAATTACAAGTATTAAAGTATACTAAATTGTTTAAACAAATATTTATTACACAAAAAAATAAATTGATAGAATAAAATAACTGGGCAAAAGAAAAATAACACATCCACTTGTACAGCCAAGTATTCAAGTGAATACGATGTAATAAATGCAGCACATGCATACAAATTTAAAAAGTAATTTACACAGCCAAATAGTTGTGTAAATACAATGTAACAACTGCAGCATGAGTATACAATGATTGAAATTTTGGCCACTTATGCAGTCTAAAATTCATGCTAATACAATATAATTACTGTTGCATGATGAGCACACAAAATAATTATTTATTAAATTATGCCAAGCTTTCAGACATCATCAGTGGTGATTACTAGTTAGTATATGTACATAATTTTATTCATTTAACTATGCCAAGCTTTCAGACATCATCAGTGGTGATCACTAGTTAGTATATGTTACAAAATATTTATAATATAAAATATTTAAGTAGTATTTATTATTGCAATACAATCATCATATAAACATCTTAATAAAAATACTTTTACTACTTTAAAAGTACTATAAAAAGGCTTAAAAAAATAAATTAATTAAAGTTAATACATTATATAATCTATATGAATCAACACATCCACTTGTACAGCCAAGTATTCAAGTGAATACGATGTAATAAATGCAGCACATGCATACAAATTTAAAAAGTAATTTACACAGCCAAATAGTTGTGTAAATACAATGTAACAACTGCAGCATGAGTATACAATGATTGAAATTTTGGCCACTTATGCAGTCTAAAATTCATGCTAATACAATATAATTACTGTTGCATGATGAGCACACAAAATAATTATTTATTAAATTATGCCAAGCTTTCAGACATCATCAGTGGTGATTACTAGTTAGTATATGTACATAATTTTATTCATTTAACTATGCCAAGCTTTCAGACATCATCAGTGGTGATCACTAGTTAGTATATGTTACAGTTGAAAAAGTCGAGCTACATTTTTGATGGTGCCAACCATTCGTTCCTTGCCAAAGGTTAAATTATATTTGAAGTTGCAAAAATTTCTCTAAACCGTAAAGATACTCCAAATTAAAAATCCAAAACACCCTAAACATGTAATCCAAGTGTTCCACAATCAAAAATTCAGTCAAGCAAACTTTTTCGTTGCACACAATTCTCCCGGTGATTTTGAGATCATTTGACAAACATTTAAGGATAGTTTGGGATGAGCCAAGTTTTGTGGAACATCTATAAAATTGCCAGTGCTAGGCTAAATATAAAACAAAAAGTATATGTAATACGAACTACGACACTTCCATATAAATTTAAAATATTCACAGTTTATGCTATAAGTTAAATTAGTTTTAAGTTAGTGTTAATTTGAGAAAATAAAGACATAAGATAAATGTAGATTTATTTATTGAAAAAAAAAACTCGACATTTGCATTTCAATAAATATGAGCAGTAATGCATCCAAAATGCTCACCGCTCTATATATCAGCAAATCAAACGTTTTGTCTAGCTTTATATTTTGTTTTTTGGGAAATGAGCTATACTCAAATTCCGAAATCAACTTTCAAATTTTTGTTGATTCACTAATTAATCTGAGTAAATCTATTAAAGTTAATCTAAGTTAAATAATTAAATCAATTAAATCTATTAAGTTTACCAATTAAGCTCCTGGATTTTAATATATATATATATATATATATATATATATATATATATATATATATATATATATATATATATATATATATATATATACATACACAGGGACTACTAAAATACCGGGACGCGCAACTTCGATTTCATGCGATTTTGACGAGAGGTCTGAAAGTTGAATATGTTCGAAAAATTTTTGAAGTTTAACACTTAAATGATTTTGATACTAATATTAACAGTTATTCAGAGTTATTTTTTGTTTCTCATTAAATAACATCTTAATCTCATAACTCATTATATTTATGACAATTTATAGTAAAAAAGGAATCTTATTTTTATAAGGCCTGGATAAGTAACTTTAATCTTTAATAAGTAAATAAATTGATCTTATGTAGTTAATCAAAGGATCTTATGCAGTAAATAAAGGGATCTTATAAAATACTTAAATTAGCAACTTTAAACTTTAATTACTTGAAACCATTTAAATCATTTCATTAAAAATTAAAATTAATTCATAATTTATTAATCTTCAAACATTAATAAATATAAGAATTTTAAATAATAAATATAATTATAAATATAAGAATTTTCAAAATTCAACAACAAAAAAAGTAGATTATCTAAAATGATCTAACTTCTGTGTTAAAACAATGTTAACAATTTTAAAAAATAACCATTTTAACCACATATTGCGTGTTGTTTGATTTATTTGCAAAACTTTTTAACTTTGCGATCTTCAATATTTAAAGAAACTTTGTCTGACGATTCATTCAATTTCGTTAGACCCTTGAAAAAACAATTCAAAATGGTGGAAACAACTGCGTTGATTGGTAATGCTTGTAAATCGAAAGGTAAAGCTGTATAGAAATATATAAAAAGTTTAGAAATGTATCTAACGCACTGGAACCGCATCTCTGCATTAGGTAATAAAATAAAAAGAGAATACGCATATCTGACATATTGAAATAGATCCTCAGTAGGGTGACATAGTCGACCACGAGATACTAACTCAGTAAACTCAGATGCATTGGTAACAAAGGTACCAGATACGGATGTACTTGGTAAAAATTTATGCTGGACATAACCCGAAATGTAATATAGGGCAGCATTTTCTTCTTCGGAAATTGCATCAATTGAAGAGAAAGATGTATCAAGATAACTAATGTCATCCTCATTCAGATCTAATTGACAACACTCTGATTGAATAATTGAGCATTGAGAAATAGGTACACCCATAGCATCCAATTTACTAAACAACTTCAGGCGTTGTAAACGAAGACTATTTTTAACTTGTTCAACCGAAACATGATAACTGCCTCCACAAAGTTGCCTGGCATAAAAAAATCTAAACTATATATAATTTGAATTTTATTTAAAGATACATACGAAAATTAGTGTTCTTAAATGCAGGGTCAGAGTGGTGAGGGGGGTTGGGAGGGATTTACCCCAGAGCCCCTGCCACAAAAAATACATAAAAATTAGTAATAATTATTTATATTTTATATACATCAATTTTGCAAAAAGACAATACAATAAATATGGTAGTTATTTCTATGAAATATCATTTTTGATGTTACAAAATACCAGTTATTTCTAAATAAAAGTTATTTCTACTTATAACCAAAAACTATGTGATTAAGGATTTAATTTATTTTTGCCCCCGGGCCCTTCAGTGCCAGTCTGACCCTGCTTAAATGTAATAACAACAATATCAATCTGATCATAAATAGGTAAGGAATTATTTAACTACCTGTATATTCTAAATTCTCCTTCTAACCGATCTGTCTGAAATATTCCGGGAAGAACATATTGATGATCTTCGTTCAGCAATTTTCAGATTAAATCTACAATTCCGTAAAGCATATTCGACAAAGAAATTTTCGTTTCACTAGTGAATGATTTGTTCCGCTTCCAGCCCTTTCCTCCTGGCATTTTTGCAACAGCTTCAGCAAATGTCAAAATCTCTTGAAGTCGTTTATCATTTACATTTTTGTATGAAGCTCTATTTGGATCATTTAAACGTATGTCCATACCTTCTTGTTTAATATTAAGGTAATTCCATATCAATAATATTCTTTCAAGAAACTCGCTTGTCTCTTTAAAATCACAAATTTTAAGGGCTGCTACAGTCTTCTCATTAACAACAGCACACATATGGGTGACATTTTGTCGATCAATTACACCTGGATGAATAGCTTTGTATGAAAGATTTGTCAACTTGATAACATTATTTTTTTCTTTTTCATATAAACTTACCAAATCTTTCCAATACCTTTTAAATAATTGACTATTTAGTGTCAGATGAATTGTTCCAGTTTTTTCTGTAAGCCAGTTATTTCGAATTGATTTAAACAAGTGCACTGGATCATGAAGCATGATTATACTTTGGTTGCAAATATTACCAAGCCATGGCTCATTTAAACTTAAAGCAAAAAATTGATATATGCTACGATTTGTGGGAAGATTGTCTGAAATAAGGCATAAAATTTCTCCACCAAGTTTAGCAACTGTCTGTGTGATTTCAACAATTAAATTTTGTACAAAAATGCCAGATAGCTTATAAACTGGGGCCATACGACACACAAAAGCTGGTTTTCCAAACATTGGCTTAATCATAAAACAAAGAATTGTCTTGGCAATTTCAGCAGGATTGTCTTCACTATAACCAATTAAATGACATCCACGAAAACGTATACTTGGTTTCACATACATTTCATCAAATAGCAGGCAGCAACGTTTTTCCGAAAAAGTTAATGTTTCAAACACGGTTTTAATAAATTCTTCACATTCCTTTTGTGTTCCTACTTCACCGATTCTGCCTAATTTTAGTTTAAGAGTTCTTGGATGTGGGAGTGAAAGTGTATCACAAAGAATTCGATAACAGCATCTTGAAGAAAGGTATAGTTCTAAAGCTTGTCGTACAACTAGCGTAGAGTAACGCTTGCCTCTCACAGGCATCATCTGCAGTTGTAGTTGTTCAATCAAAAAATTTATTTCATCAGATTTTTCTCCATATATACATTCAATCTCTTGCAATAAATGTTTTAGTTCCTCGCTTAATTCAGGTTTAGATGACTTCATTCTTGAAATAATTGCTTCTAACTGCGACCACCGAGTGAGTTTGTGAGAAAACCCCAAAATATCATTGCAATGAATTTGTGTGTGTTTGATATAAGCATGTAACTGTTGAGTGTGAGTATTGATTGTAACAGAAATATTAGTTTCTGGTGGACGCGAAAATGTCATATTAAAAACAGTCAGATCCAATGCATTTGTAACAACAAAATAATCAGGAAACCTTGAAATATTTAAAAGAATTATTTATTAGTAATACTAACACAAAAAAATCCTACAAAAATTATATTTAATTAGAACTTTTCTTACCGCTGCTTTACATCTGTAAGAAACTGTTTGACTTCAAAATTTTTTATTTTATCAATCTTGCTGAAAGAATCGAGTTCATCACAGGATGAGTTTCTTGATTCAATTGAAATTTTTTCAAAATTTGTTTGACGGAATGTTTTGCCTGTTTGTCGTAACATTGAAGGAAAACACCCAGGAAATAGTGAAGGAGGATCTGATGGAATCTAAAAAGTTTCCATTGATTTTAGATTATCTACTTAATTTGAACTAAATAAATCTTACAAGTATAACTACAACATTGATTTGAAATTTTTGTTTATATATATGAATTCGACTCACCTGATATTTAGATCTTTTTGGATAGTGCATACTACACCCCAAAGGCCAGTGCTTTTCACAAACACCCATATTGTCTGTTGGTGATTGAATTTTATTTGGTAAAGCTGCTAACCATCTTTCACATAATTCTTTGTCACTTGGAAATTTGTAAACTTTAACATGCTCATTTGCACTGTCATAATTTCCACGACAATTACCTACTGAGCATTTTCTACTGAGCATTGTCTGTAATGGTTTTATAAATTTATTTTTAAATAGAGAATAAAATTAATATTTTTTAAATATTATAACCTTAAAAATAGGTTTAGTTTAGTACAATAATAACTTAACATTCTTATGTTTTTTTGTACTCAACTTTATTTAGTACTAAAAAAGTTACTTTAGTCTAAAGTAACTCAAGTTACTTTAGTGTAAAGTAACTCAAGTACCCCTAAAACTGTTAGTAACAGTTTGAAGACTTGATTTGCATCAAAACGTAATTATACTCAAAATCAAATAAAATCTTCGTACTGTAATAGTATGTTACTGTTTTTCATTTTTTATCATAAAATATTTAAGCAGTCATAAATAATTAAGCAAGTAATACTCATAAATATAATAATTAAGTAATTAAGTAAGTAATATTCATAATATAATAAGTAAGTAATAGTCATAAATATTTAAGTAGTCATAAAATATTTAAGTAGTATTTATTATTGCAATACAATCATCATATAAACATCTTAATAAAAATACTTTTACTACTTTAAAAGTACTATAAAAAGGCTTAAAAAAATAAATTAATTAAAGTTAATACATTATATAATCTATATGAATCAACATTTGTTGCAGCTTATCAATAATCTTTAAATACCACTCTTTTATTTAAGCTATTAACATTACATGTTGGTATATTGAAGGCGCTAAAGTCAGCCCTCTCGTCGATTTCACATCGATTCAATGCCGTGCGTCCCGGACTTTAACATACAGTTAATATACACTTTCCTGATCATAAATATATCTCTATGATTGGTTAGTTTTTAAAAACGTAATGTTTTGAAAACGCGGAATGTTTGAAAAACAAAAACGATTCGGTTGTTTAAGTATCGGTACTTGTTTAAAGTATCGTCAGGTTATCAAAACATTTACAAAATATTTTTTTTGCTTGAATAATGAGAGTATATATATATAGGTTATGTATATATAATGTGTAGAAAATTAAAAGTAAGTTTGCATGTTGTTCTTTCAAAATTATGAAGTTTTTTTGATGACTTTATTATTATTTTTTAAGTTAAAACATGTCTACCAAAAATACAAAATGTGTCATGTGGCAAACTCGCATGACTTATGTCATTTGTATATAATACACGAAATGTAATAATTTGTTCAGCATAAAAAAGATTGTAGATTGTATTAATATTTATATATTTGGAATTGAAAGCACTTTTCTAAGCAAATTCCAGTCGCTTTTCTTTGAAGTTGAGCTTTCGTAATTTAAATTATCTCAGAAAACAGGTTGAGAATTTTGGGAAAATTCAGGAAAATCCATCTTAAAATATTGGCAGACACCCTGATATACACATACATACATATACACTTTATAGTGTGTATATACTAACTCTATTCACCAATATTTAGGTATCCAATAAGAATATATTTTTTAAGATTTTTACTGCCGGAGTCAAATATGGTATTTAAGTTTATGCTACTCTTATTTTTCATCTTGTTGGTTATTATGCAAAAAAGAAAAAAGATTTATAGTAGTACGTTCAAAATACAGATTTTTTGTTTAATATAGTATATATATATATATATATATATATATATAATATATATATATATATATATATATATATATATATATATATATATATACATACTTACATTGATATATATGTGTATATATATATATATATATATATATATATATATATATATATATATATATATATATATATTTGTATAGTTTAGCACTTATGGGGACAGATTTTACAAAAAAACAGGCATTTATGGGGACATTTTAGTGTACCCGTTAATTTTTTGTCTCCATAAACATGGGGGACAAAACATTCATTGACTGACAAATAGCCTGACTCACAAGCGAGTGCTGCTATTTTAGGGTTCTTCTCCTTCTTGTACATACAGTTTAGGTTATGTTAAAACATTTTCGTATTTTAATATTTAACCAAGTCTTTCGAAGTGGTTAAAGTTGATGAAGTAACTAAGGTTTATAAAAATTGGCAACATTGTTACAAACAATAACATAAAATATATTATTTAACATAGGTATTAACTTCAATAGAATTAAAAATAATAATTTATTCAGTTTTCTCATAACATTAATAATAATAATAATAATAATATTTGTCAATTGTTTTAACTGGATTTTAATGAAGGAAGAAAAGAAAAATCAATTATTAAAAAGTTAAAAATAATAGTAATTAAATTATTCAGAATAATAAAAAAAAACATTCCCATCTATTTTTTATTATATTTTTATTATTGTTTATTTATTTGTATTTGAAAAATGTACAAAATACAAAATGGAGAGACAGGTAATTACAAAATTACTTTTATGTAACACCAAAAAAACAAAAAACAAAATTTAATATGAGTTTATGTGAAAAAACCAAGTTAGAAGATTGTGTGACAATTTACATCATACTTTTTTAAATTAGATTTGAATGCTGACAGTGAATTAGATTTGAATGCTGAAAGGGTGAGTTCACTATGTGGTTTTTTTTTAATAATACTAGAAGTTTTTTTTTTTGCTGTGTTGTTGTTTTTTGCTGTGTTGTTTTTTTTTTGTTGTGTTGTTTTTTTTTTGTTTGTTTTTTTTTTTTTGCTGCTGTAAAAAAATCTTCTAGTATCATTAATGTATTTATTATGTGGTGTAAACTTTTGTGAATGACTACTAGTAAAATATTTTGAATTGGAAATAGTAAAAAAATCTGAAAATGGTATATCAATGAGATTATGTACAATTTTATAAATTATATAAAGATAAAATTTAACTCTGTGATACTCAAGAGATTTTAGTTGGAAAATAATAAGTCTTGATAAGTAATTAGTGTATGTAATATGACACCCTTTGCAGACAATTCTGGTAAAATATTTTTAACTTTTTCTATGCAAATTATATCTTTTAAAAGATTAGGGTTCCAAACTGGGGTGCAAGATTTTAATACAGGCTGCACATAAACTTTGTGAGCTTTTAACAAAAGATGAAAGTTAAGATAAATGATTTTAAAAGTAAGTAAATGCAAGAGTATGCTATGCTTGAAATACGAGAGCAGTGATTAAAGAAATTCGTATCAAAGGACATGGTGATTTTAATATCCTGAATTGAATAAAAAGTTTCAATATCCATAATGGAGTTTAATGAATAAGGATGAGTAGGTATATTATATCTTCCGTAGCATAAATAAAAACATTTGTTGGTTGCTTTTTTTAGTTGCCAATCATTGGATCATGCTAAGATTTTTTTTAAAGTTTTTACAAGATGTTGTTGTAATCATTTCTTAATAGAAAGAGGAATGGCAATGGTAGTTGCAATTGATTTTAAAAATATTGGAGGGTAACCATCCCAAAATTTGGAAAACTTTGCTGGAAGTTTTTGTAGAAATGAAACAACAGAATTATATGGAAATGATATGTTACTCAAATATTTTAGATGGGATGCAAAATCTAATGGAGGACTAACACCATTGTCAGTGATGAAGACAGTAGGAAAAAAATAGTTTAAAAACATGTTTTTTTACAATCGTCTAAACAATGAGAACCATCAAAACATGCAAGTGGTGCAACAGAATGGTGAGACATGGATTTTGAACTGATAAAAGAATAAAATTTGTTGATATTCTGCAACTATTTGTATAGTTTATCACTTACGGGGACAGATTTTACAAAAAAACATACCCGTACGAAACTTTTATAGAGAACAAAAGTACATACATCGACTGGCAAATAGCCTGACTCGTAAGGGAGTGCTGCTATATTGACTGAGGGTTTGTTTTGGCCAGGCTTAGGGTTAGGGTTACGGCAAGGTTTAAATTTGGTTTTATTATTGTAATCAATGGTTTTTGTAAATAGATGAAGTTAAAAATGAAATATATAAAATAAATAAATAAAAATAACAAAAATTAGTATAAAAAATATATTTTTGTAACAATATAATAAATTTAAATATCTATAAATAAAAATAGAAATAAAATAAAAATTAAAAAATTTATATAAATATGATAAAAATAGTATAAAAAAAGTAAAAAAAAAACAACAGAAAGGGAACAAAAAAAACATGTCCCTGAAAGTCACAAACTAGGATGCTGTATATATATATATATATATATATATATATATATATATATATATATATATATATATATATATATATATATATATATATATATATATATATATATATATATATATATATATATATATGTATATATATATATATGTATATATATATATATATATATATATATATATATATATATATATGTATATATATATATATATATATATATATATACAAGGTGTTACCCAGGAAAACTTTTCATACAGCGTTTTTGCGAAATTAGGAATTTAGGTGCGGCTAAAAAAAAAAAAAAAGTCCTTACATTCTGCAATTAAATTTTAATCAAAATAAACTTTCTATTTTTGCTGGGAGTTACATTTAAAGCAGGATTATTTTTCTACTTTATATATGTTTAATTTTAATTAATCAACTTGTTTCATTATGAGCAATCTTCTAAAGTTTTTATTTAAATCGCTTCTTTTCTTTGTTTTTGATATACTGCAGCCGTTTTTCAAAATGCTTTAATTACGTGTTTCAAAAAAAGCGCAATTAAAAAAATTTTTTTTTTTTACTATGATCATATAAACCTTTGAGAATTTTAAACCAATTGGGAATACCGCGTTAAACGCGGTGCCATCAGGCTGGGTAACACCCTGATATATATATATATATATATATATATATAATATATATATATAATATGTAAAATTTAATAAAAATGGCTGCGTATAAACTTTTTAAAAAATATATATTTTTTTTTATTGTAATATATTTTTTCGATATTTCGCTGATCTATTGTGATCAGCGTCATCAGGTGTAATTATAAATTACATAAGTATAAATTGCACCTGATGACGCTGATCACAATAGATCAGCGAAATATCGAAAAAATATATTAAAATAAAAACAAATATATATTTTTTAAAAAGTTTATACGCAGCTGTTTTTATTGAATTTTACATATTTTATTATTATCGTATAACAAGAAAATGACTTTTAAAGATTATATATATATATATGTATGTATATATATATATATAAATACATACGCTTAAAAAGTTTTTTTTTATGTATGCAAGTATAGCTAATATAAGTATATCGTTGGTTGATACAAAAGCTCTTGGATACATTTTTCTTTATTTTCATATCAGCTAATCTAGATTTTCATATCAGATAGTTTTAAAAGCATTGTTATATTATATAATTATTTTTAATATATTATAGGACTGCTTGTATTATTCTTGCCACACTTACCTTTGAAT